TAGAGAGTTTTGTGAACCCCAGTGCCAAAGAGGACAGCCAAGAATGCAGATGCCACCACCAAATCTGAGGATGTGTGGCACATCCTCACACTTTGTTTAATCTAGTTCCCTAGGTGGAGTGAGTTTTATGAACAGGTGTTCTGGTTAATTAGGTGATTAATATTTCTCAAATTAGAGAGCCATTTCCCCAGTGATAGTTCTGCTTTGCTCAAATATGAGACAAATCTTTATTGCATAATTTGGAGAAGGCTATGACTGCACTTACCTGTCTGCCAGGCCTCTCAGATCACCACTCTGGCACTGAGGACCAGGAGCCTGACCCCACATTTGGCAAGATCATATAAAAATAAGAAAGTTCTGAACCACACTTACATGGTTGGAGTGAATACCAAATAGTGCTTAACCACTATAGGTGGATCTGGATTTTGGAAAGTTCTGTGGCTCTATCTTCTTCCCTAGGGTCGGTTATATATTTTTAAATTGTGTATTAATTCCTCAAATATTTATCTAGTCAGAGTAGATCCTGCCCCTTGGGGAGGCTCAACAGTTTACCTGGCAATTTGCCTTTATTATTTCCTTCATTCTCAAGGGGGAAAGAAAGAAACAATTGCATTTTTAAAAATTGCCTCCCGGGTACAACTAATGGTACCTTTCCCTTAATCCTGATCTCTAGAAATGACCTAAAAATTCATGTACATGAGTTATTCTCTCTCCAAGGATGATTTAATAGAGATCACAGTTCTAATCCCAAATTGGAGTTTTCATGGATTCTCCCTCCACTTCCTCCCTGTTCACCTGCTCCTCCAAGATCTGCCTCAATGGCTCCATGAAGTAATGTACCAGTTTCAGGGTCCCTAATAGGAAAGAGATGGCATAACTGAAAGGAGTAAATGAAGAAAGTTAGTAAAGGGACTATTTAGAAAAGTGAGTCAGGATTAAGGAATCAATAAAGGATGGGGGCCTATCCCAGGTTTAGCAACAGTGGGAAGCTGTGCCTTCTCCTACCCTCTCCAGAGATTAGGGGGTGGGAATGGTAGCTGGAGGGCATGAACTATGACCTTCAGTAGAGGAAGTAAACCACTGTCAAACTGCTGTCCTTGTGGGGGAAGTCTTGGCCTCTTCTCCAGCTCTCTAAGCTAGTTCCCCACATGGCCAGACCCAAGGGAGGGCAGGAGATGCAGCCCATAGAGGTCAGCCTCCTGGGGAATAAACAGGGTGACAGTGAGCAGAGAGTGACCTGGACAATCTACCAGAGAATGACAAGCACAAATGAAAACTGTCAATGGGGTGGGAGCAAACAATCAGAAAGGAGGGGAGGTATAATTTTCAACTCCCATCCTAGAAATTCTGGAAGAATGTAATCCCTCTTCCTCCTCCAAAAGATCAAATAACACTCATCAAAGTAAAACTGCAACAAGAGAATGTCAAATAAGCTAGCTGAGTAGGAAGATTATTCATTCAGATATTTGTTCATTTATTCATTCATCAATCATTATAGATTTATTTGTACTTCTAGGCATCAGACATGCAAACATGGATTAGACATCACTGTATGCATGAAGTGTTTATAATAAAATGGTAGAGTGAATGGATTTGATGAGCCACTGCCCTTGAGGATTTGAGAGCCTGGACCAGTGAGATTTTCTGGAGAAATGGCCAGCTAAACTGAATCTGGGCTGGCCAGATAGGAAAGAGCAGAGAAGGATGATCCAGGAGAGATGCTGAGTGGTGTCAGAGACTGATGGGAGATATGGTGGTACAGGCAGAAATCTACTTCCAAGCTCAGGATTACATTGTCCAGGTTTGCATTTTAGAAAAAAAAAAAAATCCTTTGATCATTAGAGTAAGGATGGGTTGGTGGAACAAACAAAGTTAGAGAATGGATGTGGGTGCCATGTGAGCAAAGGCTAGGCATGCAGCAGGCCCACAATGCAGAGGGACAAACTATAGAGACAAGGATGGGGAGAACTGACAGGCCTCGGGAACTGCATGGCTGTGGTGTGAGACAGAGGAAAGGTGCTTTGGTGCTGTTTTGTGTTTCACCCCCCCCTGCTTTGTTAGCTGACAGCTCCCCAGTTTTCCTTTGAGAGCACTGTTCCTACCTGCCAGCTAAGTGTAGTTTCCGTGAAGACTGTCACCCATAGGTTCTCGTCTCCTCTGGCAAAGACAGTGAGCAGGTGGCCTAAGTTGGGCCAATCGTCTTTCCCTCCTGAGAATTTGGAAATCTTGGGCTTGACACCTAGATCCTACCTTGGTTCTTATCTTTTCAAAGCGTCCTTCATTTTTCCCCTTATAATTTTTGTATGCCACCTAAAGGCCTTTTTAACTTCAAGTAGTTATTGTCTGGCCTATAAATGATGGTGCTTTTTACCAAGGCACAGAAAACAGGTAGAGGAGTTTGAAGAGTGTTATCTAGAGGGAATGGGTGGGCAATTTGTTTTGAGAAACCTAGGGGGAAAAAAGAGAAAAATCTGAAAGTTGGTTCTGGAGGCTTCTGGGAAGAGGGGTGGGGGGGGAAATCACATCACAGAGTGTAAAGACATCTTTGACACTTAGTCATAATAAAAAAAAAAATCTGACCAACAGCCTCACTTTCTGAGGATTTACCCAGATTTCTCCCCTCTCTGAGACTCAGTTTCCATATTAGATTGGAATGATATTGAGGGTTCTCTAAATAGTCCAAAGAATTTAAGTTTACATGTAAAGGGGTCAGCTATCCTGGAAAACAGGGTTAAACAATCCCCTTACCACAGTACTTCATGGGGTCTTAAATTCACTCACCTGTGATGCAAATCTCTGAGACAGGTGAAAGTGAGCAGCACTTCTCATATTTTTTGCCCTAGGATATGACCCTCACCCCATAATGAACTCATGAAGAAACACACAGAACTAGTTGTCAGAATGCACTTGCAGAAACTCTGGGTTAGGTGAATTCTGAGGTTGTTCCAGCCCAAACAGTCCCTGATCCTGTGGGGCCAGTGTCCTGTATACTTCCTGTTTCTTACACTTGCCTCTTCCTTGGGGATGACTGACCCCTGCACTCCGTTCTCCCAGGGAAAAGCATGTCTCCATGCCTATGAGGTCACCTAAAGGTATAGTAGCTCATGAAACTCCCAGCAGTTTAAATGGAAACACAGCTTCCCCCTCCCCGCTGTGCTCAGAGCACAGACCCAGCTCAGCCTGAAGGGATTCAGAACATGCTCTAGTGTGCATTTGGGAAAACAAAGAAAACCCTGCTCTTGTCTGCTCCAGACTGTCTGAGATGCTTGTGTGCCCTTGGGCCTTTGCCCAGCTCTCTCGTCTGCCTCAGACCTGGTACTAAATTGGTTCAAGGTTTGGAGGAAAGCTTCAGAGGAAAGGATAGTTAGAGTTCTTAAATGCTGAAGTCACCCCAAGGACCGAGAGACCCAAAGACCTCTCTGGCCACCAGAGGGCGATCACAACAGCATCTGCAGGGAAAGCTGTTCCCAAGAATAACAGCTGTAAATTGCACCTAATGTGTTTATGAATGATGGAGGCTGAAGTGTGCATGTGTGTATATGTGTGTGCACGTACGTACAATGAGGTGCCTGGAACTAAGGCTTTGAAAGTCTGCTAAGTACAATAAAATAAAATCTGCACCTCTGCTATATATTCACAAGATGTGGTCACATAATTGGAAGTTTCCTTTAGGAAAATGAGGCAGAAGGAGTCAGAATGGCATTTCTATGGAAGAAAAGGAAAGAGTTCCCAGTGGCGTAGTTTTCGTCGTTAGTATATGGGATACTGTGTTTGTGTTCTGGGAATGCATGTGCCTGTGTGTATGTGACTGAGTATGAGTGTGAGCCTGAGTGTTTGTAAGCGTGTGTGTGTGTGTGTGTGTGTGTGTGTGTGTGTGTGAATGTGTGGGTGAGCAGGGCTCATTCAGACTTTTCCAATGAGAGCAGACCCCAAGGAAGTCTGGGCAACACTTCCTCCAGTTCCTGCTCTCTGCCTGCAAACAAACAAACAAAATCATTCCTGCGAGTATTTATGGAGCCTCTAGCACACGAGCTCCTCCCCACAGGCATCTGGAAAAGCTCAGACCTGGCCAATTCAGAGCAGGCACTGGAGTGGGGAGGCGCTGGGGGCAGAGGCGCTGCCTCCTTCGGTGAAGGGCTGTTGTGCAAAAACACTTTCTCTTCTTTGAGGCCCCACACTAGCCAGTGAGGTGGGCACAGGGCTGTGGCCCCTTGTCTTCGGGGAAAGGTAGCCCCGGATGTGGCATGGTTGGCCCAGGGCCACCTTGCAGAGGTACAAGGACTATGGAGGCATCATCACTGCTCTTTGGAGCACAGCAGGCACCGGGTCCCGGCAAAGCAGGGCTGCACAGGGGCAGGTAGGGCTTGTCACCAGCGACCCGAACAACACGGACAGCCATGTTCTGTGACATGTGTGGCTGCGGAGTGCAATCGTGTCACTACAGTAGGTCTTTTAGGAATAAGTTGTGGATCTTCGTCAAGATTAGGGGGGATCTTAGAGGGTCTTTGCTGATGTGGTAGCGATGCAGCTTCGATGGGCTGTGATGTAAAAATGTGGGTGAATTAGAGAGTGTAGCGGTTTGGGGTTCCTAGCAGCTGTGTGACCTCTGGCAAGTCACATCACTTCTCTGAGCTTTTTTTTTTTTTTTTTTTTTTTAACATCTATAAAATGGGGTACTTAAATGCCTCCTCTCCAGGACAGCGTTGGGGCCGAAAGAAAACAAATGAGCAGAGTGCCTAGCTCAGTGCCAGATGGAAGAACAAGCGCCACCAGCCTGGTGTGTCCTTGGTGAATGAGTCCCAGTTCCAAGACCCTCTCCTTCCCTCCCTTCTCCCTCCTCCTCCGCTGCCCCCTCCCTCCGGGCTTCGGTTGCTCTAGCAAAGTTCTCAACTTAGTCAACATGACGCGCGGCGCAGCCAATGGGAGGCGGAGCTGGCGCTTTTTGCGGGGGGCGGGCGGGGTGGGCCGCGGCTCTGGTGCCTGCCCCGCTCGCTCAGTGAATGGAGAGAGCCAGCGCCGGCCAGCTCCCCCGGCTGCCCCGTGCCCAGGCCGCCGCCGCCGGCTCCCCGAGCCCCGCTCCCGGGCGGACCTCCTCGGGCACGGCGCCCCCCTGCGCGGCCGCCCCAGGTCCCCGACCCGCTCCGCGCCCCGGGCGGCGGGCCAGCGGGGCCAGGGGGCGCTCGGCACCTGGGCGCTCCGAGCGATGCGCAGCGGGGCAGCGGCGGCCCCGCCGATGGAGCTGCCGCCGCCTTCCCTCTCGCCCGGCGCGCCCCGCTCCTCCCGCGCCCCGTGCGCCTGAGCGCCCAGCTCGCTCCTCCTCCGCGCCAACTCCGCCGCCCGCTCCCCGTGCGCCCCCGCGCCTCCCGGGGCTCCACGCATCTGGCCCCGCGGAGGCAGCTTCCTCCTCCGGGCGCGGGCCCCTGCGCACCATGGCCCCCGGGCGGACAGGGGCCGGCGCCGCCGTGCGCGCCCGCCTGGCGCTGGCCTTGGCGCTGGCGAGTGTCCTGAGCGGGGGCCCCGCGGCCGCCTGCCCCACCAAGTGTACCTGCTCCGCCGCCAGCGTGGACTGCCACGGGCTGGGCCTCCGGGCGGTGCCTCGCGGCATCCCCCGCAACGCCGAGCGCCTGTGAGTACCCCTGCCCCGCCCCGCTCGGGCCACCCACCTGGGCTCCACGGAGAGGCCCCGGGCGCCAGAGCCTGCTTCTGCCTTTGGCCAAGCTGTGTGCAGTCTCTGCTCTCCCCCTCCTCTGGACGGGGTCCCCAGCTCTCAGACAGGGGGCTGCGGCTTTAGGCAGGGCTGGGGAGAGCGATCTGGATGGGCAAAGAGCAGTACCTCTCCTGGGGGGGTGAGGGCTGCAGACCCGGCCCGCTGACAGCTTCCAAGGAGAAGGCTGGCTGGAGACAGAGAAGAGAACATTTCAGCCCAGGAGATCTTGGGGTGAGGATCAGGGATCCGAGCTTTTTAAAGAGGAGCAGAGGCGAAAGGGTGATGGGGCGTCAGGCTCAGGGAGAGGAAGAGAGAGGGCCCCAGACTGTGACCCGCTTGGAGATCAGAATGGGCCAGCCGCTCTCTGGCTGCCCTTGCGAGGAAAGTTGAGAGTGTGTATATGTGTGTGAAGGTCTAACTTCCGAGGAACCAAACGAATTCAGAGAGGGTGCTCGCAACACACGCCCTGCCGCCCTGCCCGGAGTGCCGCCTCGGAGATGCCAAGCTGCAGCCAGGGTGAATGTTTTATGGCTCGCTTATAAATGCCTACCCGAAAGGGCCAGAGGAGGAGAATGGAAATGCTGACAACCCTTTAAATGAGCCCAAGCGCTATAATCTTATAAACCGCACTCAGCCTCAGGTCCTGGGCTTGGCAGCGGGAGGAGAGGCACTGGCACTGGGAGAGCGGGGTGGATTGACCCTCGTTTTAACCCCAATTGTGCAACCAAATATTTACATTTCATATGTCAACGTTTTGGAAACATTTATCATTTTGATCCTCAGACCAGATTCAAAACTTGGACTCGGGGTGGGCTCTTCCTAGCGTGCAGTTTGGGGAGTCGGGAAAAGGGGGAGAAAGGGTGGAACCCGCCTGGGAACACAGCCCAGAAGTGGGTGAGAGTTTGCTCTCATGTGGTGGACTTCCTCTGTGTCTTGCTCTGTCCATCCCCTTTCCCCACGTGTCTTAGGGGCAGATGCGTTCTGCCTTGTTGACTTTAGGCTGGACGAGGAGGGTGCTGAGTGTGAGATGAACTGTCCTAGAGCATGCTATTCCTGCTCATCACCCCCGCCACCTCATTTCTAATCTTCCCCTTCATAGATCCTTGGGTGGAGACACAATAGAGCTGCCTTCCTTTTTCCTGGAGCTTTCCTGAAAGCTCCAAATGAGTTAGTGAGAAAATAACTGAGCTAATGTTTGATGAATGCTTTTCTTGCCTCAGTTTGTTTGTATGTATATCTCATTGTCTCCCTACAACAGTCTTATTAGTTACTAGAGGCCCGGTGCACGAGATTCATGCACTGGGGTATGTGTGTGTGTGTGGGGGGGGGGGGGCAATCCCTCAGCCAGGTCTGGGAGCCTGGAGGGATGTCCCACTGCTGGCTTAGACCTGCTCCCTGTGGAGTGGGCCTAAGCTGGCAGTCGGACATCCTTAGCGCTGTTGCAGAGGTGGGAGAGCCTCAGGGCTTCTGGCTGAGCTGTGCTCCCCCTGTGGGAGCACACTGACCATCAGGGAGCAGCTCCTGCCTTCAGCGTCTGCCTCCTGGTGGTCGGTGCATGTCATAGTGTCATTGCTCTGTTCAGTCAATTTGCATTATTAGCCTTTCATTATATAGAATACTGGTTATGCTCATTATTTCACTTTACAGTTAAGCCATCTTGTCATTTGCTCAAAGTCATGTAGCTAGTTAAGTGTTCAAATTCAAGCATATCTGGTTCCTAAGACCACACCTCTGCTACTCTGCTGGACTTCCTTGAAACAAGAGTCAGTTTCGGTCAAGATCTATAATCAAAGGGTCCTGGGAGGCTTCTGACTGGGCTTGGGGCTTAGAATAGGCAACTGCTGCTGCTGCTTCAGATATGCGTTACCACAGCTAGCTTACGTTTGAGCTCTCCTGTGGGAGTCTTGAGACTACTTCTCCCCTATTTTCAAAATCGTGTTGCATTTTGGGAAACAGAGGAGAGTGGTCCATCTCCTCCTGACACATAGGATGTCTTCATGAGCGTCATAGGTGCAGGACTGCAGTGAGCTCCCCGCCCCAGTGGACTCAGGCAGCTTGGGGGCTCCTGGCTGCTCTACACCTGAGAAGAGTTGGGTGGAGACTGGAGTCCTTGGCATTTCCATGGGCCCCTGCTGGAGTCATGGTCACTGGCAGGCATTGGCAGAGTAGGAGGTGCTTTGGAATACGTGAGCCTTGATTCTGGACACTGGTGCCACTTTGGGGTGCAATGAGGTGATGCGGCAAGGCTGGCTTCATTCTAGGCTCTGCCTTCCTGGGGGCAGGGATAGCCTTTAGGAGCAAGCGAGATCAGGATGAATGTAAGGGTTAGGAGCAGCCCGCCCATAGTCCTTCACCACCCTTCACTCTCAGGCAATTCAAATATAACGTTTTAAGACTGCAAACTTTTGGGGAGATATTTGGCATGTCTAAGCAAAGGATTTCTTTAGAGAAAAGTTCCTTCCTTCCTTCCTTCCTTCCTTCCTTCCTTCCTTCCTTCCTTCCTTCCTTCCTTCCTTCCTTCTTTTCTTCCTTCCTTTTTTCCTTCCACAAACATTACTTGAGTATCTACTGCATTCCAGTAAATGTGTATAAAAACATTGCATACACAGAAAAAAGCCTGTAATTCAACTTAAAGAATGTAAGCAAAGGAGGGGAAAAGGAAATGTCCTCCAGTGAGCCCTCCAAACTTCTCGGGGCTCAGTTTGTCATGGGGTATGTTTTGTCAGCATGGCTGTCAGATGCTTGGGATCTTCCTAAAAGGCATTTTCTGATCTCACATGTTTACACTGTGCTTTATAACAAAGAAGAAGCATTTTCTCCCTTCTTCACTCCTGCTGCTCTACCTCCCAAAGAGACTTTTCTGAAGGGGTGTGTGTGTGTGTGTGTGTGTGTGTGTGAGTGTGTGTGTGTGTGTGTATGTGTGCATGCGAGTACACTTTGTTCTCTGGGCATTTTTTAATTCTGAGGCCGTGTCTGCTTGTGGTGCACCATTGGAGAAAACCTGGGTGAGGATAACGTAGTCACCATTTGGACTTTGCTTCCGGCCTGGAGTAGGGCCTGTGGAATTGTTTGTAACGAAGCTGCTATCACAGTTGGGGTCTGTGTTCCAGCTTCTTCTCTCTAACGCCAGTACATCTCACACAGAAAGAGAAACTCTTTGTCGTTTAAAAACTACTGACAATTTTTCCCCCCTCAATGGGGAGGTGACACCCACAAGCAAGTTAAATAAACGCAGAGGAGAATTCAGTGTAATTTATTATCCGTGTAGCAAAGATAGAGGACAGGAGGAGAGGAAGTGAATGGTTGTGCCTGAAACAAAACATTTACCACGGAGCACAGAGTAAACAGATGTTGCATTTACCCTTCTGAGCACAAAAGGAGCCCGCAGATGTAATTCTTCTCCAACCACAACCTCGGCCTGGAAAAGGGGAGACAGATGCAAGTGAACTCTCGCGGGGGGAGCCCCCACTCTCCCCGTCCAGCCCAAAGGCAGGCAGAGGCCCTCTTAGCACCCACAGCGAGGTGGTGGCCTGAACAGTTGAGCGGGGCCAGAGTGGACATCTTTGGTTTTTTGCTTGGCTCCGGAACATGCTGGAGACTGCTGTATTTAAATAAACATTTCCTGTTTGCGAAGGAAAACGGGCGAAAGGCTGAAACGTGAGAATGTGGTAACTTAATTTTCTCCATCACTCCAGATGACGGCGAGCTTCGCCAGAGGTTGGGTCCAATAAAAACCCACACCGTGTCATAGGCTTTCCCTCACTTGACCACAGAGGTCCCGAGGTCAAGTGGGAGACTTTCCAAGATGCTCAACAGCCAAGCCCTGTGTCCTGGCATTCCCAGCCCTCAGAGGGCCAGCGACAGGCTGGTGAATCACCGGGCTTCTCTGAGCCAAACACGGCCAGGTGGCCTTTCAGGGAAGCACGGTGCTTTGCAACTCTGAACAGATTGCTTTACCTCTCTGAGCCTCATTTTCCTGATAGGATTCTAGAATAGCATTAATGGTTTTCCGTCTGTGGTTCTGTAATATCTGTTCTAGTGTCTAGAACAGTCCCTGGCATCTAGTAGGTTCTCAACAAATATGTGTCCACTAAGTGAATGATTTTTCTAAAAAAAAATGTCTCATTTTTAGTTGTTCTAATGAAAAATGGGCAATTACAGATTTGTATTTTTATGCATGGCTAAAGGCAACTTACTAGTTATTGTAACTCATGAATTATTAAGGGTTTCTAAAATTCGACTGTCTTGAACAAAAATTATTCCCTTACTAGAGTTATCAAAAATTCCTAATGAGTGATTCATCCCAGAGTCTGGTTGCCAGGCATTGCTTAGCAACCTTATAAAACTCCTACTGTGCACATTCCCGTGGAAAGAGCTAGAAATCCTGAACACTTAAATCATATCACCTTCTAATCAGGAATTCGTCAGCATCATCCTGCACTCTCTGTGGTTTTTGATAGCCGTTCTTTTTCTATTAATTGGTGTATTTGTCAGGGTCATTATTAAAGGTTGCTTTTGCTGATCATCTGGGTCTTATATTATTTCTGCACTTCTGCCATTTTGATTATTATATTGTTTCTCTCCAGTTCTGTTTGTGGTCACAGAGTTTTTTCTCCCCTGCAAAGTGTGAATGAGTCTGAGAGTTGTGGGATCTTTTTGGTCAACTAAAAGGGCCGAGGTAGCCCTAGTCGGTTTGGCACAGTGGATGGAGTGTCAGCCTAGAGACCATGAAGGATCCCTGGTTTGATTCCGGTTGAGGCCAGATTCCTTGGTAACAGGCTCCTCCTGTCCCGGCCCTCGTCGGGTGTGTGCAGGAGGCAACCAACTGATACGTTTCTCTCACATCGATATTTTTCTCTGTCTTTCCCTCTCTCTTCCACTCTCTCTAAAAATCAATAAAAAAGATATCCTCAAGTGAG